TTGACAGTATTTTAAAAATATGAAAATTCAGTTAAATTGCTTTGGAAGTGGATTTCTATAAGTTGGCAGCCCCCGGGACTTTGACGTATTAAATTATCTGTGAACATTACTCTAACTTAATGATGATGATTAGAAGCATTTAATTGCCTAAAATTGTGACTCCCGCTTTAGTTAGTGGGCTTTATTGACCGTGAAACAGGCCTGCATTTAGAGTGATAAAGTTTAATAAACGATCTAGAATGGGTCCCACTGTTCTGTATAATTTGCAGTTTATGGACATCGCCAGTCTTGCTACTAGTCCAGTGGGAAAGGAGGGCTACAGTCAGGGGACTAATACCACATTTGTCTTCTTTAAAAGGAAAGAGCAAAATTGTGAGTCTGAGACTCAATCCTAACCCAAGGCAAGCTCTTTTCCTAGTGAAGGCCAGTCCAACTAAATGGTATGTAACATTTAGTATTTATATTAGTTGTTGATGCTTGAGGAGTTATGTGCAACTCTGGAGTCTTGCGGTCTGTTTCTTTGGGTTGTACCATATGTTTCGTACATTCATACAGCATAAACTCCGATATGTCTTTTCAAATGTACAGTAAAATAGACGGTCAAAAATAATCACGTATATTGAAATTGGGCGCGTAAACCTGCAGCATAAAGGTTTTTTTTTTCTTTCCTTTTTTGTTTTGTAGTTTGCATTTTATGCTTAGGCAGTACATACTTCAATAGCTTGTTCGGAAAAGATGTACGTGACAAAAATATGCGCACCTTTAATTGAGCTTTAATTCATTTATTCCCCTCTCCAAAAAGTATATATTTTTTTTTTGTGAGTGAGAAATTCCCTGCAATGCTTCTCACAGTCCCCCCCTAGTGTTTAACTTGATGATGACACCGTGAGCAGTTCCAACCTGTTCTACCAAAACACTGAACACTGAGCGCACACAGCTAATTTTGTGGGGGATAAACAGTGTGGCATACATTCTAAAAAACTTGAGGTATAGGCTCTGAAGTGGGCGTGAAACTGAGCAGGATAAGCTGTATTGAAAACGGAAAGAAAGGCGTCTCCAAACTTTGTCATCTTCCAACAGCTCTAAATGACTGGTGGGTAGTCGGGCATTATGTAAATTTGCTGCACAGAGAGGTTTATTGTGGTTGGCACAAGCGGCATCTGCACAAACTGGCACTGTACAAGTCCGGCTTTGGCATGTGGCCACCAGCCCAGTGTTCGAACTGAGCCCGTTTAATGTGACATTGCAGAGAGCATGTACTGCGAGCGTGCACTCTGCCGCTTCAGCCGTGCCGTGATTCCATGTGGGCGTTCACAGCAGAGTAGGCCAGAAAGCAGAGGGGGTCCAGTGCCTTGATAGTGCGATGATGGGCTTTGAGCAGCTTCTCCAGAGGGGGGCCATGGTAAGCCTCAGCTATTATACCGTACCTCGTGACTTGGGGTAAAAGAACATTAATTTGCGCTTTGGTGCTTAATTAGCTGAGGAAGGCGTACTGTGTATCTTGTTGACCTTAATTTATGTTTCAAATTTCAAGTATCAACAGCTCTAGAAACGACCGATCCAGGATGTACCCTGCCACTCTCCAGAAGTCAGCTGGGTGGTGGTCACAGTTACCAGTCACCCCAATGAGGACGACGAGCATTGTAGAACGTGGATGGTTGGAAGGATGGCTATACAGTCATACCTCGGTTTTCAACCATAATCCGTTCCAGAAAGCTGTTCGAAAAGTGATTTGTTCGAAAATTTTATTAGCCCATGATTAGGGGCTAATACACTATGCAGAAATAACATAAAAACAGTCAGATTTGCGTCAATCACAACAAACACGCCTGCTCACAATGAACGCTACACGAGGAACCGTCACTTCCTCGTGTAAGGAAGCTGAGAGGAGTCAAGTGGCGTATTCGGGTTTGCTCAATTTGGTCGAAAACCAGTTTTCGGTTGTAATCCGAGCCGTAAAAATCTCAAATTTTCAGGTCGAAAACCGATTTGGTCGAGAACAGAGACGTTCGAAAACCGAGGTTTGACTGTATCTCCCAAAACTGCACTGTGATTGACTGGTAACGTGTGCCAGAAGTCAGCTGAGATCGGCCCCAGCCTGTGATCCTAATGAGGCAGGGCAGTATAGAAAAAGGTAGAGGAGGGTACTATTTTGTTCTAGAAATGGACAGATTCTCAATGATATTGAATCTGAGTTGCCCGAGGCACCAGCAGTCGTTAAATTCATTCTTCTACACCAATCATCGGGTGGAAAGTAATGAGCGCACGACAGCTCTTCTCAGCGGTCAACACTGAAAACTTCATTTTTGCAAATCGTTTCTTGTCATAGAAGTAGCACACCACAGGTGATGAATCCTTGAGCAAGAAGCCATCATAGATTGCCAACTGCAACTGGGATGCGAGGGGCGTGCGTGGAGGGGGGAGCGGCGATTCCATACGTATGCTACTTTTTCGGACACGGTGTGGTTGAACAAGAGAGCAATATGCAAAACAAAATGGCTCTTTCTGTGTAAGTAGGAACATATTGTTTTAAAATGAAGGAAACTGGAAAGATTCTCCAACGAAATATGACCGTATATAATTACAAAATCTATAATATGACATTTTAAGTTAATTGAACTTTTTTTCAAATTTGTTTGGCAAAATGCTTGTTCAATGCCATGTTAAAAAAGTTGGATGGATTGTTATAAAAACACCATTTGCATTTGTTACTGCTGTAGTTCTTTCCGAAGAGCCTGGGAGAGTGTGTTTAAATGGACTTGGAGCACAAAAACGTGTCCACCCCTGCTGTGGTCGCTCATTTCCAGCCCCTCTTCTCTTTTTTTAATGGATATGCTTACTGTGGAGGAGAGAAAAGAAGGCGAAGAATGGAGTGTCAAGAGACTGTCACCTGTGCAGCCACCCACTCGCCTGCTCTTCCTCAGAGAGCAAGCATCTGCGTTTCAAGTGAGCCGCTCCCCCTCTAGTACAGAGTTTACAGGCCTGTTTGCCTATTAACACTTGAGTTGCCGCATAGCCTGGACCCATGTGACTGCCAAATCACCATTGTTGCCATTTTCAACACACGGTGGCAATGGCGGCTGTCATTGTGGATGTCCATCAATAAGCTTGTTTGCTGAATTTCATGTTTAGGAATTTGTTTGTGTGTGTGTGTGTGTGTGTGTGTGTGTGTGTGTGTGTGTGTGTGTGTGTGTGTGTGTGTGTGTGTGTGTGCGTGTGTGTGCGTGTGTGTCTTTATCATTTAATCGAGAGTATTTTAGTTTCACTATAAAAATTAGCCATATGTCTGCTGTGTTTCCCCGCCGACTCTTGAATTCACCTATTTGCACATTATGTAGGTACCAATGTGACATTATTTGCTGTGAAACTTGCCTATTTGCTGTTTTTTGTGCTGTTTGTTTTCTAGGATGCCACAAGATGGCAGCAAAGTTGTTTGAGTAAGGGCTTTGGCACCATCTAGTGGCCTCATGATGCCAAAGAACTAAGGGTTGATGGATTTAAAGCTTGCGTGGTTGGGTCACTTTTGTTTGAGAGACACAGATTATTTTGAAGCAGCCTTCAAGTGGTCTGTGGTCTATGGTCTATGGTCTATGTCCACCTGTGCTGCAATAGCACTCTACAGTGTCCTCCGTTAAAAAACAAAAAACAAAAACAAATATTTCTGAAACTATCTGTCTAAATTAAATTATTTTAGTTTTTGTAACTTTAACTTCTTTGTGAATGGCTGTCACCTCATGTCTTTTTTACTGTGTCCAGTCTTTGGTTGGTTGAGGGAGGCGATTGCCTGCTGTGTTGGGGCGCAGTGCTTTTGTCGCAAATAACAGTGCAGGCTTCCTCAGTATGCCTGAGCCTGGTACATTAATTTTTTTTTTTGAATGCAGGAAAAACTCTGCATCTTGATGTCATCCACATCTTTGAAAACACCCTCCCTTGATGACCACCTTCTGCTTGGTTCAGAGAAAAAAAAAAGTCATGCATTGTTAGATTGAGTGGGAAGGGAGGCTGCTTGAGCAAGGCGATGTTCAATAAGTGTCTGATACTTTGGACTTGGAGTGCTGTGCTTCTTTGGCTCTTGGTGATGTTGAACTATTCCAATGAAGGCTCTAACATTAGGTCTGTATATTGTACTCGAAGATCCATGACTCATCACTGGTGATGACTCTCCCTAGCAAGTCTGGTCTCATTCGTCTCATCATCACTCAGCCTGCTAATTGTTTGATGACTTGACTCAGATATTTGAATAGAAGCATGTAGGAAAAAAAAGTTAAATGGCCGCAGAGAGCTTAGGAAAAAGCTCTCCTGTAGTGTTGAGGCTTCAGTGAAGGGGAAAGCGTGTTTTGTTTTTAAGAGTAGCTTGTGTGACACCAGTCCTGGAACTTTCCCGATACACCTCGTATGTAAGTGACACATCTCGACATCAGACTACGAAGTGTCTCGTAGCTGCTTTTGAGTTGTCTTGACGAGTCGTAGCCTGTGTAATATGACATACTCAATGACGTCTGAGACGCGTCTGAGACGCTTCACGACCATGACGATGAAGGTTTGTCATGTCAGAGTTTTTGTTTGTCTTGCCCCATAGTGTGACATGTCCTATGTCGTCCTTCGATGGGTTCTTCGGCATTGACCAACAGGAAGCCGGTGCCCTGCTACTTATGTCGAGAGACTGGACGTGGCACACACAGCATTTATAGCATTTTAAAAGTGACTTGAACAGTGGGGAAAATATTGGAAAGTATATGTAGCGTTTCAACTCATGCTATGTTTCAACTCTTGCTATGTTTGCTAACTGCAAAGCTAGTAGTTGATTAGCAATAATATGAAACTATATGAAACCGTTTTTGGGGGCATCGTTTGTGCTATATTTATGGTTTAGACTATTAATATCAGAAATGATTAACCTTTTCACAGGGGGCATTAATTATTTTGATTCTTTTGTGATTTCTGACAGGGCTCTGTCCCTTTCCCTTAAAGATAGTGGTGGAATTGCTCTACTGTATATGCTTTGCTACCTGTTGCACTCTCAATGTGCGCATTAGGCAGCGTGCTCGAACCCCTGCCATGTGTTATCAGAGGGTACATTTGTGCCAGGACGAGACTTGGAGCCACAGCTGTCAGTGAGAACGCCGCCCCAGTCCTCGTCCAAACTCCAAAGCACAACCTGGCAGATGAGTCTGTTGTCCACTGCAGCTCCTGTTACGGTTACACACGTTTCTTACCACGCATATAAGGTGGTCATCCTCATAACGGTAGCCCTCTTTCACACAGTGTCTTACTTTTTACATTTTTGTTACTATTTACAGAAAAAGCACTTCTGGTTTGCTTTGCTGTCACATTTTGGTGCGTATGGAATTTTTGGATTCGAATTAGAATTTTCGTGATTTCAGTATAAAATCGATCACTGTGATTCTGGGATTTGGGGAATCCTAAATAACTGCAGCCCCCTTTCATGTTGCCTGTAAACACATAATTTTTACTCTTATGTATAAATAGAATGTCACATGACCAATCCCAGCATACAGGTGATTATACGTTATTCGTTACCTGAGCCCTTCGGCACTGTGATGTTGTTTTCAATAGACAGGATGTGACAAAATGGCCGCCCCTTGAAATGGACGAAAAAATGGGTGGATTCTGTTGCTTGATTCATATTTCACAAAGGCAGTATGAACCAGAGTGTCATGTTTAGAGTAGTAGAGGCGCATAGAGCATATACTGGAAAGGAAAATCTCGATGGGACTTCTCCTTTAAACCATATTGGATTGTCAATGGTTTTGCTGTAGTTCGTTTATTTTTATTTTTATTTTTTAAAAACATATTTATTCACCGCAAATGTGAAAGAGTAAGTCAACAGCTTGTGTATTTGGATGACGTAAAGCTCATTTGAACGAGATACTGTATAATTGATCCGTTTACGGCTCACTTGCATTGGGAGTTATCGGATTCAAATTGTAATTGTAATAATGTATTGATTCAAACCCCCTCGTCCCTTCAAGATATCTGAATTGTCACTTGCACTAAGCACTGGTAATCCAGCCTTATTTTCTCTGGGAAAGCGTACACTTTAGAAGCAATATCCGGCCCTTGCAATCTTCTGTTACAAAGAGGCTTGGAGTACATCAAGACAGAGTGTTGATAGAGAAATGAAAGACTTTGTGGTTTAAAAATAAGACGGCATTCCAGTTAGTCTCAGAGACTTTTATTGACTTTTCAGCATTCATCAAACACCAACATTTATTATTCAAAGTCAGCTGCTGCTCTGGCTAATGTTTCAATGACTGTTTTGTTCATGTTTACCAGTCCCTTGTACTTTTCACGTGACTTGCATTTATGGTGGAATCTGTCTTTCTGGAATTGGAGTTTGCGCTGCGTTCGAGCCGCCCATAACAGAGATTTAAATCCTCGCACTCTGTCGCTATAGCCTAGACCGGGTCTCTCTACTGTACTGTACCTGGCTTTGGGCCAGCCATGTGTCATTCCTGGTGCCATGTGCCAGCTGTTGCACATGTCCGCCTGCGATGGGAGGGAGTTGTGTAAAGGCCAGCGCCTCCGACCTGCCGGAAGTCTCAGAATGTTTTTCTAATGTTTCCTGAAATAAACCATCACATCATTGGCTGTAACCTACAAAAAAGGCCAAAAAGTGGTGACGGAAGTGATTCAGTACTGCAAGGGTTAAGTTGTGAAAGTTAATGTAATAACTGCTAGCACCATCTGCTGGCCTACTTCCTTTACAAAGAGAGAGTGAGGGGGGGAGTGAGCAAGAGAGAGAGTGTGTGTGTGTGTGTGTGTGTGTGTGAGAGAGAGAGAGAGAGAGAGAGAGAGAGAGAGAGAGAGAGAGAGAGAGAGAGAAAACGAGCCTGGGTTTTAACGACATCTCTAATATTCATGCTGATGCATTTTGCTGCTTTGTGCTTTCATTTTCCTGCCGGAGCTTGCCGTGTGCGGGCCGTAGCCGACTTGGAGGCGGACAGAAAAAAATACAAAAAAGCTTTTTTTAGAAGGAGTTTACCTACCTTATCCCAGGATGATGAGGGAACGAGGGAACGAGGAATCAATGACCCGGCGGTAGGGAAACTCTGAGAGAGCGAAGGGGCAGCCAGCGCTTCTTGGACTGCCACGCACCTCCTCTGCCTCGGCTCCCTCATCACCCCGTGAAGAGACAAACGTGGGTGAGGGAGGGAGTAAAGAGGGAGAGCGGGGGTGAGAGAGCTCCCATGCACTTCTCTTGAGCCCTGCCCGCTGGGGGAGGAGGAGGAGGAGACAAGCCACTCCGGCGTTCACGCACCGCCTGAGGAAGGAGACGAGTGGACTGCCGCCGCCGCCGGAGGAGGAGGTGGTGGAGGAGGGGAGGCAAACCAGTGGGGAGGGGGAAGGGGAAGGGGGGGGATACACACTCACCAGTCCAGGAAGGAGACTGTGGAAAAGTGTATTTATTCCGGAGGAGGATCGTCGGCGAGAAAACCCGGCGAAAGGGCAACGAGGCTTTTGTTAGCCGGTCACAGAGAGAGAGAGAGAAAGAGAGAGAGAGAGAGAGAGAGAGAGAGAGAGAGGGAGAGGGAGAGAGAGCAAGCGAGGGAGGGAGTTTGTAGGGGGGAGGTAAAGAGGAAGAAAAAAATGTCTACAGTGAAGAGGCCAAGAGGAAGGGTAAGTGAGCTCTGGGAGGGAGGGGTTGGTGTGAGGGGAGGAGCCGGCAGGAACTGAACAACCTACTCGACTCATGCTGCACTGCCGCCATCTTGAACTCATTGCTGCCTTTTTTTTCTCTTCCCCTTCCTCACCCTCCCTTCCCTTTCCCTGCCATACTCTCATGCTTTGCTTATATAGAGCCAACGACAATACATTTTTCTCGACCCACCCTGCGCCCTAAACTGCTCACCTAAATGCCTTCCTCTTTTAATTCATGTGTTTGTTTGGGCGAGTCACTCACCGGCCCTATGTAGCCCCCCACATCTGTCTCACTACCTTTTTATGTTTCTGTGGGATAATTATAGTTCAAGCCTCCAGTACCTGAAGCCTGTAATTTCATTTATTTATAGATACGTAGATACAAACAGCAACTTTCTCGCTTCTTGCTGCATTCGACACATGCACTCACACACACCCGTTTGTTTTTATATCTCACCCCCACTCTGTGCTCTGGTGTTCTTCCACTCCTAGGCACTACTTTCAGCCCTTCCCCCATCTAACCATTCAATGAGAACATTCCAGCGTGATCCGGTAAAATTTCGACCTAATGGTCTCGGCAGCGTTGCACACGTGACTGGTCATAATGCAGCCTTTGTGAGCGCTTGTTTTTGTTGGCCTGCCTCCAGTCCACGCAGGTACACATGTTGCTGGCAAAGTTGTAGCTGGGGGTAGTTTTCGCAACAACCTAGTCAAACGGGACGGGCGTTTTTCTGTTTAAGTTTCACGTACAGACCTGCCAAAACGACACGGGTAAAGGGTTTAACCGGCGACATAACCTGAATGTGTCAGTGCATGCAAATGCAGTGTAATAGTAAAGTCATAATTACAGTATGTTTTAGATGGAAAACACTTCTAGGACATAAAATTATGCAATCAAAAACGGTAAGCACAGCGCTGAGTGAGTGTGCTTTCAGCCATGTGACGATGTGTTAATTTTTAACAGTTTCAAATGTGACATCGTCTTCTATTTGCTTTGCAGAAGAGCATTTTTCAGTGCTTCAATGTGTTTTTCATGTCCAAAACTTTTCACTGTTATCCTCTACACGCACAACCAAAATGTTGTTTCTTTTTAAAAATTATTATTATTTTATAATGATTTTAGTTCAAGAATGGCTGCAAAGTACGATAAAGCAGTTGAAGCAATGAGTGAAAATGTGTCATTCTAATACAGTGGGTCCTCGGTTTACAGTGGTGTTCCTCTCCGAAGATAGCGAAGTAACCCAGACGTTCACAAGTGTAAACCCACCGTAGTCTATCGCTAACCAATAGTACTGAAGTCATAATTACAGTAGCAACATACCAAGACTTCCCAAAAATGGCACTCAGTCAGAATGCTGACAGTCGTTAGAATGGCCACTTCAACCTGAATACAAAGCGCCAAGAATATATACATTTGTATCATGGTTTCTGGGAAAATGTCTGTGTTTCTTGGAACTTAATTATTTTTTTAATGGTAACTCCTACAAAAAAAATCTGGTAAAAATGCCTTCAATTTAGAGTGAAACCATACAACAAAATGACCGTCACATTTCAAACAGCGTCACTTGCTCTAAAAGCTCGACTTAAATAGCGCCAAAATCAATTGGAAAAAAAACAAAAACGTATATACGGTGCTTAATGTGCCTCATGACCAGGTCATTCGGGCTCAAACCTGCCTCGCGATATCTCTGAGTGGAGCGATAGTGAAAATTTTCTCCAGGTGGTCGGGGTTGTTCCCACATTCCAAAAACATACACATTATGTCGATTTAAAACTCCAATTTGCCCATTGGTGTGAATGTGAGTTTGAATAGTTAGTTGTCTATATTTGTCCTGCCATTGGCGGGTTATTACCCTCGGCAAAAGTAATTTATTCAAGAATACTGTTTAGTTAACTTTTTTCAAAAAATACATTTGAAGCACTACACTATAAGTCTGCTTAACTATACTTGACTTGTATTGAGAAATATACAGACAGATTCTTAAATTATACTTTTGAAACTTCATGTGTTCCAATTTAGGATGAAAAAGTAAATTTTATAAACTTATACTCGAGTATACTTCATAATGTAAACTTTGTTTTTGCTACTTTTTCGTAAGGGTCGTAACAGGGTATAACTGGCCTCATGCCCAAATTTAGACAGGACAGGTTATGGTTACTTGGTTACTCGAGAAAATGGCTGCTCTTAGTTGATATTGAGTCACAAAGGGTCTCGTGTAAATGCCCTCTAAATTTGTATTTAGCTTGCAATGTGCAGTGAAATAATAACAGAACTCAGACATGTCGACATGGCCACTAGTCGACACTGCAGGTTGCCCATTTGCGGGTCTATCCTCCATGTCGCGACTCCTCACTGCAGTCACGCGATCCATCATTTACATATGATCATGTATCAGCCTGGCCTGGATTATTTACGCCCTCGAGGCTGAATGCTACACTTTACTTTTATTCCCAGTGTGACTTCATTTTAGCTGACTTTTCACGTGGCACACACTTTCAAGGTTACTCCCCGCCTGATCTAGATTAATTGGAGTAATGTTGGCTTTTCTCAAGCTGAAGGTCTTCCAGGGGCCATTTGAGCAAAGAATTTAAGACTGCTTGGGGTCTTTGTTTATATGGATGAATGGTTGGACTGCAGCTCTGTTTAATGGTATGTTCAACTGAAGATCATGAGTTTGATAACATTCCTCCTGCAGATTGTATATTGACTGTACTGCTGCCGTGGCCGTGAAGTTGATGCTTAGAAACATCAAATATTCAACTGACATAGATGCTGATACTTAGTTTTTAAAAATCCTGCCCTTGGGTAAAACCCTGGAAGCTAGTAGTTGGTCCACATAACTCTTTGTTTCCAAAGTGACGCTGGATCTATGTGAAGTGGTGTCAATATCTTTACATAAAGCCGATGCAAAATAAAATGCTTTACAGGTCCCCTTGGGTCCTAAAATTACATATTCCCCAGTATTCTTAAATTCACTTAAGTGCGCCAGTACCAGAAAGCCATTAGCATCGATCTCAGCCATGGCCTAACTGTTGCTAACATACTGGGCAATAGTGTGCCATATTACAAAGTGGATACTGAAGTTTCTTCCATGACTTCTGTTTGCTCGTTCATGTTGGTCACTGCTCCCACTTAGCCATGAAGCAAGTGGACTGAAATAAGGAAAATGTTCAATCTTAGCCTTGTGAAATTCATGAATGACAGTTTAAAAACAGGCCGATCCTGTGATTGCGTGTCAGTCTGTGTTTCAGTGGTGTATTTGTGAGCTGTTTTTCAGCTGCAGGAAACTTGGTCTCATCTGTAATATGTTTTTGAAATGGAGACATCGACTTTGGCTGATTTCTTATTTCTTGTTTCTTTATTTAAAGCCTCGAAAGAACACCAATGGTCCCGCGAGCCACGTCCGGGCCCTCAGTCCCGTGATGAAGAGCAGCTCGTCCTCCTCCTCCTCCTCCTCTTCGTCGTCGTCCTCATCATCGTCGTCCTCCTCCTCGTCCTCGTCTAGCTCCCCTTCGGAAAAGAGGACACCGCGGCGGACGCACAACCAGCTGGACGTGACGCCTTTGGACAAGCAGGAAAAGGCCAATCGGATCATATCGGAGGCTATAGCTAAAGCCCGCCAGCGCGGCGAGAAGAACATCCCGAGGATCATGAGCCCCCAGAGCTTCCCTGGGTCGTCGTCTCAGCACAAGAGCCATCAGGAGCATAAAGGAAATGGCAAAGCGCGGTCCAAATTTAAAGCCTCAAGGAAGGCCTGCATTGTCCCTTCTTCCACATCCAAGCAGAAGCCCAAGATCGGGTATGTGCTCCTCATCTTTTACTCCTCTGGCTCAATAGTCAGGCTGCAAAGTTGCCAACC